TTTAAAAAAAAGATCCAATTTTTTTTTTTTTTAAAGAAGTTCAAAAAAAAAAAAATATTTTTATTTTTTGCAAGGAATATGAGCGAGAGCAGTAGACAGAAAACCAAGTTGCAAAATCACGAAGTAGCCCAGATAGTCATGAACCAAGCAGAGAGCTCAATGCACCAAGATACCATACAAATAAGAGCAATACAATGAACTTGAATGTCAATGTCGCCACTCTCTGGTCACACAAACACTGTATCCAATGTCACTCTTCACTGTCTGGCGCCCAGCGTCTAGCCTATCCTACTCAGCCTATCTAGCCTATCTACGTTCTTGCAACTGATTCACTCTGAAGTCGAAAACCAATGTACGTGACGGCAATGCTGTCTCTCCTCCCCTCATCACCCCTTGGACCCCCACCTCATGCGCCTCCTACACGAAGACCACCTTCGCCATCACCTGGCTTCGCGCCCCTGCAGCCCGGTTATGGCTGCTGTGCGCCCCGCTGCCCTTGCAGCGCCCCTCACCTCAGCGCCTGTGAGCGCGCTCGGCCAGCCAGCTAACACAGACACTAGCGCAGCAGCGTGTCCGCATTGCCTGCTAAGGCCCGAATGCCTTCCTCAGGCCAGGGCACTTTCCTCTATGGAAAGTGCATCTTTCCTTGGGCTACGTGGGCCTGGCTGAGGAAGTTTTCAGTAGCTTCCAGTTGGGCCCCAGTGTCTGCGCCCAGGCCCACTTCTACAGTTAAGGGCCTGGGCCCTTTTTCGGTTAGGCTCATCCAGGCCTACGTCCAGGGACAAGTGTTTGCCGCATTCTCATTGGCTCGCGGCAGTTGTCTGATGACAATACTGCTTTCTCATTCATCCGCGGCCACTGCGTGATGTGTCAGCCTCACAATGCGTGTGCCCAGGGCGCAACCACCCGGCCCTGGGCTCAACTCTGCAGCGCAGCCCTTGTTTCTGAAAACAGCCTGGAGGCTCACGTTTCCCGGTAACCAACTGGCGTGCTGCAACTGTCTGAGCACCCACACATGGAAATGTCAAATTTTGGCCTCTTGTGAATATTCATGCCCGCCTTCACTTAGGCCGGGCACAGGGCCACAGCCCAGAAATGTGCATGTCTGATAAGAGCCCCGCGAGGGCTCATTCCTCGCATTTTTATTTTGTTTTGGCCTGGGCGGGCAAGTGGTCCGGGGCCACTCTGGTAGCCTAGGATTTTTTTGATTTTTTTTTTTTTTTTTGCTGGGGCCTTCTTTGGCCCTTGCACAGCCAGCCACCCAGGCAAACAAGGTGACCCGGCCGGCCTGGCTGGTAGCCTAGGAGTTTTGCATTTTTCAATGATTTTTGTTCAATTGGTGTCTACGGCAACAGGGGCGGGGCTCTGCCTGAGGTTGAGGGCTTGACAGAAGTTGAGACCCATCAGCCCTTGATGTGGATGGAACTTGATTGATGTTTTATTTGTTGTAAGTTTTGCCTTGGGCACTGGGGCTGTAATAATAAAATAACTTATTAAAAAGCCATCTGAGGCAAAAAGGAAAAAGAAGAAGAAGAAACGGCAATGAAATTGAGATTTTGAGTTGTCACACGACTCTCACAGACCTCTGCAGGAATGCATCAGATCCATAAATCCTTTCTGCTTCTCCAGTGCCGCCTCCACCTCCATCTCGATGCGCGCCAGGCCCAGCATGCAAACTCCTTCCACTTCCCTCGTCGCATTCTTCAAAATAACCAAGATGCTTCTTGGGTGTACCATTCTCGTGTATTTCACGTGCAGAAGCAGTACGGCTCCTCGACTCCTCATTCGTCTCTCCTCCATGCCAAGAGATCATATGCCCGACAAATGCTCCTTTGCGTTGTTGTTCATCCTCAAAACCAGTTTTTATATCAGTCCCTTGGTCCCCCGGATGGCCAACGACTTGATCGGTTGAAAAGCGAGCCTGATTGGGTGGGAGGGCAGCAGTGATCCCTGGCGCTCTGCGCGAAATGGGGTCCTGACAAGCCTGGTAACGCTTGATGTCATTGGTGCTATTGCCACAGGGCCGCATGCCTTCCTGTTCCAGGCTTTGATCTGGATGCTTCGCTGTCAATTGGCACAGCTGTTCAACAACAATAGTCACAAGACAACCAAGAACTGATACTTTCAAACCCGAATTTGAAACAAAGAATAGACTTCAATAACAAGTTGGGACCAGCTTTTTTGATTGGTACATTGGTAAAAACAACATGACAACAAAGAACTGACTTCAATCAAGCTGAAGAGCAGAATGAAGGGAAGGAGGAGCCTGGGCCTTGAATAGCAACAACAAGACAACTAAGAACTGGTACTTTCAAACCTGAATTTGGAACAAAGAATTGCCTTCAATAATAAGTGGGGACCAGCTTTTTTGATTGGTACAGTGGTTAAGACAACATGATGTTACGATCCTGGCCAATTTCGAAGTATACATTCATCAGAACGTACAATGCCGTCCAATTGCAAAAAGAAATGAATGAACTTGAGAGGAGAGAGAGGGAAAGAAGAAGAGGAAGAAGTAAGAAAGAAGAAGAAGATGATGTACTCCAGCATAGACCAAAGATAATGCTCTTCTTCTTCGCCAACCAATCTCCTCCTCCCTTATTCAAACAAGAAATAACAATAATAATGTTGAATGGCTGAACCAGAATCAATGTCTGAATCCCACTTCTACTGCAGGCACAACATAAGGTCCACCATAGCCATGGCCACCCTTCTCCTTCCTCTCACATGTAGGCCGAGGCTATGGCGGACTACTTAGGGCTCAACCCTCCTGTCCAAAGGACAACCGAAAGCAGCTATGTTGCTGCCTCCCTGTGCAAAGGACAACGCAAAGCAGCTATGCCGCTGCTCACTAGGCCGCCATGCCTGTGTCTGGCCCGAGCTTCCTTGGTGCGGCACTACCCCAACGGGGGCCTTCCAGATGCAGGGCCTAACAAGGTGATGAAGATGGTGTCCACCATAGACAGGTAGGTACCTCGCCACTCTCCTCCTTAGTCCCCTTCTACCTCCTCCTCCTACCGGTAGAGCTCCACCATAGCCAAGGTGGAAGCTCCAGGCTTCTTCCTCCCAGCAGCGCTGTAGTACCCAGCGCTACTCCAACCAGCGCTCCAGCAGTGTCTCGCCAAACTTGCACACTGAAGAATGAGGCCCGGCTCTTCCCTCGGTCTCCTGATATAGCGGCCTACTTGCCTCCTGGGCGGTGACTTCCAGACCGCTCGGCCTCCCAAGCAACCAGTACCTCCTCGCTTTCGGAGGGAAACATCATTGCAGACTCTGATATTGCCCGTATGGACTGGTACCGGCCTAGACCTAGCCTACCGCTACTGGGCCTCTAAAAATGCCAACTTTGTCTTCTTCTACTCGGCCTCGAGTACCTGGCACATCTACTGCTACTGGGTGCGGTACCGGCCTACCTGCTACTTGAGTGTTTTTCCGCTGCTCCAAGTACCGCGGGCCCCTGGCTCCGCTACTTGAGTGTTTTCCCTGCTGCAACCCTCAATATCACGGCCACAGGTAAGTACCGGCCCTATGGGCCTCCCAAACAAGCAAGTACACTTGTGGGTCACACAGACACTCATGCCGACAAGCACTCAGACAGGCACAAAGGTCAACAAGCACACACACACACAGACTTAGAAACTCGGCAGAATGCGGGAATCTCAGCAAGGCATCCATTCCATCGGCAGAACTTCAGAAATCAGCAGCGTTCTCAGTCTGTGTTATGGCGGGTCATTACACTACCCCCCCCCCTCAAGAGCGAGGTCCCTTCGAGCGAGTAATTCAATCAGAGTCCCTGCATAATGCATCATAAGCGTAAATGGCAAAAAGAGATCTGGTATGTTCCATAGGAATGAGGGTAGCAGTGAATTTAGGTTGCTGTTAGGAGCTAATCAGTCGTTCATATGCGTTGACGACTCGCGAGGCACTCTGTAGCAAGTCTTTCTTAGCAATCCAGTAAAAGTCATTCAATGGGTGGTATAGAAAATGAACTTTGTACTGTTTGTTTCTCCCCTTTCCACTGTGCTGGACAATTCTATCAACCTCGTGACCACCCCTGATTGCGCGAGGAATCATCGATTCTTGATACGGAAAAGTTTCGGGTGGTTCATACGGAAACAACTTCGACGCGTGAAAGACTGGGTACGTGCGCAGATGAGGAGGCACGTCGATCGTGTAAGAAGGGCCGAATGAATCCTCCCCTATCTGGTTCAGTACTTTCCACGGACCATAATACTGGGGAAGAAGCTTTCGTGATACCCCTTCTTCAGAAAACTCAGACATTTTGACCCAGACATAGCTTCCCACTTTGAAAGGTTCAGGCTGGCGCTTTTTGTTAGCATGTTTAATCATGGCACTGCGTCGCCTTTCCATAGCTGCAACAACAACTTTGAGCAAGCGATCAAACTTAGCGCTGTAGCCAGGCTCGCCAGGTGTTAGACCAGGTGGCTGATCAGGAAACAGGCAGGATAGGGGGTTGCAAATCTGCCACCCGAGATGCAGCCCATTAGGTGTCATCCCGGTGGAGGAGTGTATGGAGTTGTTGTACAATCCTTGTACAATCGGCAATTCCTCATCCCAAGAGTTCTGATCAGGCACAATTAGAGCTCGGAGAAGTTGGATCACAGTTTGGTTGATCTCTTCGGCCAGTCCATTGGCTTCGGAATGTCGGCCAGATGTCATCTTGAGTGTGATGTCGTAGATCTGGGAGGTGAAGTCCTTCCAATCTATACTTATGAACTTAGTGTCCCGGTCATTTACAAGAGTTTTCAGGGGCCCACACTACAGAATGTACTTTTTGTGAAACTCTTTGATCACAAGGTCAGTTGGGGCGTGAGGTGGTAATGGGATCAAATTCAGAAACTTTGAAAAGCGGTCAACAATCACCATTACTTGTGAGTATTCGTTCTTGCTCTTCTTTCCCATGTCCGTGAAGTCGATGGAAAAACACTCACCCGGACCATCAGGAATACGAAAAGGATGCAGCAGCCCATAGGGCTTTTGCTGAGACGGTTTGACGCATTGACAGACTTCACACTTAGCCACAAACTTTCATGCCATTCCTTTCATCCCAGGCCATACAAACTTTTGCAACAGACTTCCGTATCTCTTTTCAAAACCGAAGTGTCCACTCCGGCCATGCGCCAAGTCCAAGAAGTGAATACGGATAGGCTTGTGGTTGGGTACACACAGTCAGTCGTCCTTCCCGTAATGTCGGAAGAGTAAACCTTTACACTCGTGGAAATCAGGCTGGATGTTAGGATCAGCCTTGATCTGCTCAAGGATGGGACAAAGTTCCGGGTCCTTGGCAGTATGCTCAACGAGTTCCTCCTTCAAGTTCTTACGGAGATCATAGGAACCCACAAGGCAAGTCATGCACTCAGGATGGCAAGAAAAAGCATCCGCAACGCGATTGTAACAACCTTTCTTGTGCTTAAGTTCAGAATCATACACAGTAATCTCATGCAGCCAGCACGTCAATGTAGTTGATCGGTTATTCTGTGTCTGCATCCATTTCAAAGTCTCATGGTCTCAGAACACTTTGACATGCGACCCAAGAGGTAGTGTTTCCAATGATCTAATGCCTCTGTCAAGGCATAGAGTTATCGCATGTATGGGGAGGCAGCTACCTTGTGGCTGGGCATGCGTTTGCTGTAATACTCAAGCAGACGTAAGCCGTCACCATCATCTTGTTGCAGCACTGCACCAATCCCATACAAGCTTGCATCTGTAGTTACTACGAATGTAAGTTTGAGATTTGCAATGCGGAGCACCGGATGACTCACCAAAGCCTCCTTCAATGCTTGGAAGGCTGTTGTGCATTCCTCATCCCACGTGTAAGACACATTCTTGCTTGTCAGTCTGGACAGCGGACGGGTGATGATAGAGAATTTGGGCACAAACTTACGGTAGTAAGACTCAAGAACAAGAAAAGAACGCAATTCTCAAACATTTGTCGGTTGTGGCTATTTGCGATGGACCTCCACTTTGGTTGCCTCGGGCTCTAGACCTGGAGCGGACAACTGGTGTCCAAGATAGATGACGCTGTCCCTCCCAAACTCAGATTTCTCTAAGTTGAGATGGAGCTGCGCATCCTTGAGGATCTGCAACACTTCCTTAAGGTATCTCATGTGCTCTTCCATCGACTGCGGAACACCTTGTCCATGAGACTTTGGAAGGTGGTCGGTGCATTCGTGAGGCCGAAGGGCATAACGGTAAATTCGTACAACCCATCACGAGTTTTGAATGCAGTTTTATGCTGGTCTGCAGGGTCGACTTCAATCTGGTGGTAACCAGACTTGAGATCGATCTTGCTGAAGACCTTGCATCCACTCGCAGTATCAAGCAAATCATCAATGCGCGATAAAGGGTATGCATTCTTTCTTGTTATGCTATTCAGTCCGCGGTAATCGATACACATCCGTAGTTCGCCTCCTTTCTTAGGGACAAACAAAACTGGTGCACCGAATTCGGATTCGCTTGGTTTGATCCACCCCTTCTTAAGCATGTCATCGAACTGTCTTCGCGACTCTTCAAATTTGCCTGAGCCCATTCGATAGACAAGGCCTTTTGGAGGAGTGCTACCTTCTATCAACTCGATCTTGTGTCAGACCGGACGCACGGGAACTCCATGCAGTTCGCCCAAGACTTCAGGAAATCGGTTGAGAAGGTTGCGGATTTCTGATGGGTTTCCAGAGGTGGATCATCACATTCAGGTGCAAGCATACGAGATTGCAAAGGTGCAGCCAAAACAACAAAATTCCAAGCAGAGCCATTTGGACTAGAAGAAGATTTAGTAAAGGTAGAAGTAGTTGCATTAGAAGTAGAAACGACATGCAAAGTAGAATCATTATGTACAGCAAAAATAGAAGGCACATGAGCAGGCCTAACAAAGGCTATATACATTTGCTCATCAACTTTGCACCTGCGTCGGACCACTGAGGGCTCAACCTTCCTGTCCAAAGGACAACCCAAAGCAGCTATGTCGCTGCCTCCCTGTGCAAAGGACAACGCAAAGCAGCTATGTCGCTGCTCACTAGGCCGCCATGCGTGTCTCTGGCCCCAACTTCCTTGGTGTGGCAGTACCTCAGCGGGGGCCTTCCATATGCAGCGCCTAACAAGGTGATGAAGATGGTGTCCACCATAGCCAGGTAGGTACCTCGCCACTCTCCTCCTTAGTCCCCTTCTCCTTCCTACTCCTACCGGTAGAGCTCCACCATAGCCAAGGTGGAAGCTCCTGGCTTCTTCCTCCCAGCAGCGCTGTAGTACCCAACGCTACTCCAACCAGCGCTCCAGCAGCGTGTCGCCAAACTTGCACACTGAAGAATGAGGCCGGGCTCTTCCCTCGGCCTCCTGATATAGCGGCCTACTTGCCTCCTGGGCGGTGACTTCCAGGCCGCTCGGCCTCCCAAGCAACCAGTACCTCCTCCCTTTCGGAGGGAAACATCATTGCAGACTCTGATATTGCCCGTACRGGCYCTAGACTCAGACTGGATGGACTGGTACCGGCCTAGACCTAGCCTACAGCTACTGGCCAACTTTGTCTTCTTCTGCTCGGCCTCGAGTACCCGGCACGTCTACTGCTACTGGGTGCGGTACCGGCCTACCTGCTACTTGAGTGTTTTTCCGCTGCTCTAAGTACCGCGGGCCCCTGGCTCCGCTACTTGAGTGTTTTCCCTGCTGCAACCCTCAATATCACGGCCACAGGTAAGTACCGGCCCTACGGGCCTCCCAAACAAGCAAGTACCCTTGCGGGTCACACACACACTCATGCTGACAAGCACTAGGACAGGCACGCAGGTCAACAAGCATGCACACACACAGACGTAGAAACTCAGCAGAATGCGGGAATCTCAGCAAGGCATCCATTCCATCGGCAGAACTTCAGAAATCAGCAGTGTTCTCAGTCTGTGTTATGGCGGGTCATTACAATGACAACAAAGAACTGACTTCAATCAAGCTGAAGAGCAGAAGGAAGCGAAGGAGGTGCCTGGGCCTTGAATAGCACAAAGTGTCAAAGTGTCTATATGTTAGCCAAATAGCACAGAGATCTTTACGCACTGCAAATGAGCCAAGCGTTCAAAGTTCAAACTTCAAAGTTCATCTGAAGTTTGAACATGTGCACCACACACACCCACACACACACACTAGAGTTGCCCAAACAGAGGGCAAACGCACTCTAGGACTTTTTTGACTCAGCTCTGGACGTGATTGCCGCAAGATACATCCCGGTCCGGGCAGAAGAGCGGCCCGATGCATTTAGAAAAGCACTGGTGCCCTGACAAGAGTATCGGAAATATAACCTGTTCCATCAAATGCAAGCAGGCACGCTATGTGTCGCACATTTGTGGTGTGCATGTGTGCACACAACGTGTGCGCTTGTGGCTACGCGGTTCAAATTTCAAACCATGATGATCACGGCCACCGCACTCGGACAGGGTGCTTTATGTGGTACCCGGGACCTCTTTTAAGGGTGGGTAAATTTGAGAATCCGAGCCCGTGGGGCCTTGTCCTCCAGCTTTTTCAAGTCCTAGCAGTGGTGGACCTTGTGACTTCATTGCCCCCCTTGAGCCCGGCGCCGCTGTTGTGTCTTGCGGTTTTGGCTCTTTGACCTGTCTCACGCAGTGCAGAGGGAGACAACCATTGATCTTCCGACACATTCCAAACGTCCCCTATCCTTAGCACACCTTTTTCAATCCAACTCCTACCGAAGCTAGGAGAACGTGCTGTGTCGTGTCAGCAGCAAACCAGGTTCCATCCATTTTACGAATATGTGGATTCTCAAAAAGAGGGTGTAAAAGGATTTCAGCCTTCGTGGATGGTTGCAGCCAGTGGTACCTTTTGGTCGTACCCGTGGAGGGTCTGTAGATAAGTGGCTTGGCCCCAGGCTTGGTGCGGTTTGGTTTTTGGACAAGTTGCGACTATCTCGGTAATCATGAGTAGCTCGAGCACGGTAGTATAAGTATGATGACTCTGATCATCGTTTTCCGGACCGACGTTCAGCACCAGCACCCGGGATGCCGGTTGCATGAGCGGCGGAGGGGTTGGTGGTATGAATTGGCTTCGATCTAGGGACGTAAGCTGGGAGGACTAGACCCCCTGAGGAGGATTGCAACTGGAGAGGGGGGCAAGCGAGGAAACATAGTAACATACACAGATGGGACATGAAAAGCTTTTCTAGACTATTGCATCAAAAAGGAATGCGACTGGAGAGGGGGGCGGAAGGGAGGTGAAGTTGGGAAAGGAGGCCATGCCGGTTCCATACCAGCTTCCAGTTGATCAACTGTCTCGGGAGCTCGTGGATGAATGGAGAACGCGGCAAGATCTACATCACGAAGAGAATGACCATGGAGAGACAATCACAGATTGAACAGCATATTAAATCAGTACTCACAGATCAATTGAGATAATTTCATAATAATTTAATAAACAATTCTATAAGTAAAGGTCGTGCCGCCTATGTTACCAGGGTCATCCGGCCCAGACCGCCTGGGTGGGCTACCGGGGCGAACTTGCACCACCGGGGGTGGCCCGCTCGGGGTACCCCGGTGTCATGAAAAAGAGGGTCTTTCTTTCTTTTTTTATTTTTTTGGCAGTCGGGCAATTTTGCGCCCACTGAGATGTGCCCAAATCCGGCCTTATCTTTGAATTTGGGGATATCTCACCAAACGGTATCTATGGGTTATAACCATACTTGCGGCGCACCGGCACAGTGCGCTGTGCGCGGACCCAGAGTGTGCGCGCACCGGCGCACGCCGCGCATCTGGGTGCGCAGTGCGCGCTGCGCTGCGCACGTCTGGTGTGCTGCGCGCATGTGCGCAATGTATATTTCCATATTCTAGCGGTAGATTCATTTGATTTTGCTCTCTCTCTCTCTCTCTCTCTCTCTCTCTCTCTCTCTCTCTCCCCCCTCCCGACTACTTCC